AGAGATCTGGGGCTGTTTAGCCTGGAGAAGAAGCGACTGAGGGGAGACCTTAGCGCTCTCTACAACTACCTGAAAGGAGGCTGTACCGAGGCAGGGGTTGGTCTGTACTCCCTAGTGGCCAGCAATAGGACAAGGAGAAATGGCCTTAAGTTGCACCAGGGGAGGTTCAGGTTGGATATTGGGAAGAATTTCTTTACTGCAAGGGCTGTCAGGCATTGGAACAGGCTGCCCAGGGAGGGGGTTGAGTCGCCATCATAGAATCATAGAATGGCCTGGGCTGGAAGGGATCTCAGAGATCATTTAATCCAATCTCCCTGTCATGGGCAGGGACACCTCTCAGCTAGATCAGGAAACACATGGGGACTGAATGGAGATCAAACCCGCGACCTTGGTGTTATCAGCACCAAGCTCCAACCGAGTGAGTTAACTGGCCCCCTGGAGGTGTGTAGGAGATGGGTAGATGTTGTGCTGAGGGACACGGTTTAGTGGTTTTGATAGGGCTAGGACAAAGTTTAGACTCAATGTTGAAGGTCTCTTCCAAGTGAAACTGTTCTATGATTCTATGATTCTCTTGGGGCAACCTCTTCCACTGCTCAGCCAAGCTCAGAGTGACAAAACGTTTCTCATGTTGAGAGGGAACCTCTTGTGTTTCAATTTGTGCCCGTTGTCTCTGGTCTCCCTTCTCAGAGACATTCAAAAAGTCACCTGGATGTGATCCTGGTCAACCAGTTCTAGGTGTCTCTGCTTGAGCAGGGAGGTTGGATCACATGATGTCCAGAGGTTCCTACCAACCTCACTGTGATTCCATGATTCTTTAAATGAAAAAAATCAAAAAAATTCTCTGCATCCTGCTAACAAGTTTTTGTGTTGATAATGACCCTAAGTAGCAACTACCTGACTAACTTTTTACTATTCTATGGGAAGGTACTGTTTTTTTGCAGAGATGAAGATTTTAAAGGAACAGAGCCCAGACCAACATTTTAGCTGATCATTACCGTAATCTACATTCCTCTTTTTGCCCCAGGTGTAGTTGCCCTAGTAAACTCAAGAAAACAACAAAGTTTGCAGATGCTTCAGCGGACTATGTTCTTTATCCCAGAAGCTCAACATGTCTTCAGAAGTCAGGCAGCAGTAAGTTTTATTATATAGCACATCTTTGAACTTCTTTCAGCAGTGCTGTTCAAGTGGTGGTCTGGAAATTAAGGCAGGCTTTATGACCTGAGTAAAAAGCTACTATCTCCATCACTCACACACACCTTTGTGGTATTTATAAACAGATCTTAACAGTCCTCTAAGGAGGATTTCTGTTCTTCTGGGAATATAAAATGGAATTTAAAAGTTAAAAACTGAATAATGGAAGTATGCAAATAAAGAGAGGTGCTACTACGCCACTACACTGTGATGGTGGCAGAGGGAGGTACAGACCTCTTGGCAAAAGAGCTAGAAGACACAAACAAGCAAGGAGTGAATTAATCAGCCCATAACAATATAGCTGGACAGCAAACTTGCCTTCTAAAAAGTTTTTTGGACATTCTTTTCTGCATATCATGGCAACCAATGGAACATTAAAACTTTTAGAAACTCCTGTTTAGAAGAAATTAAGAAGTTGCTTCTCTGCACAACAGATTGACTTTATTTGCTGTAAAGAGAAGACGTCTGTGGTCTGAAACAGCTAGGATTACATTCCCTCATGGTCAAGCAACTATGCATCGAGGATTTTGCACATTTCCTTATTGGTAAAAAGAAATACTTTAGAGTTACACTAAATCATGTGAGGTTTGCTATCATTCTCTATCCACAAAACAGTATTTGTGGGTTGCTGCATACTTTCTACAAGCGGAAAAAATGGAGTGCTAAAACTATTAGAAGCCTTTTGTGATGAATTTCAGACATTTTGAAATGTTGAACTAGCAAATACTGGCATAAAACCAGACTGCCAAGTGAGAAGCAATGTAGATCAAAAAGTTCAACAAGAGTGCATACAAAGCCAGCACACTTCAGTACCAGCTGCTAATAACCCCTGTTCAGCAGTCTGCACCTCAAGCTCAGGCAGTGAATGTGTCACGTGTTAAAACTTGAGCAAAAAAAAGCCCACAAATTAGTACTTCCAAATATCTTCTTCCAAATATCAAGGTACAGAAAGTTCTAACAACTTCTTATTTACCTGAAAGGAAGATATGAAACACTTCCAGCCAATATAAGCCTGTATATATCTTCTGGGGATTCCCTCAGGTATATTATCTAATTTTTCAGAAAAGAACAGAAAAGAAAAATATTAAGATTGGTATTAATAACTTCAATTCACTTGTTTAATACAGACGGCAAGATTAATTATCACAGAGCTTGAAAGTGCTGGAAAAAAACAATAAAACCAAAACAGACAACATAAAATACTGGTCAGTCTAGAGGAATAGTTGCAAGAAACCGTATGTGAATGTTTTGGAATTTTATGGTGTTCTGCATTAGTCATAATGTGATCTAACCATCACCTAAGTCAAGAGTATTGACGAATATAATGTAACTAAACCAGTAACACAATAACAATCTTGATCATCCATGTGAACACACTCATTCAACATTCAAATGTTAGTGGAAAAAGTAAGTGAACCATTGATTTGACCTCAAAAAAGCTAACCGGAGCCAGGTTAACTTGGGGTCTTGTTAAGAAAAGGAGTTTGAGGGTGTGGATTAGAGCCACATCACCTGATAAAACCACTCAAACTTTGAGTTTGCTTCACACAAGATGTATACTTATTTGAGCCATGCCTCACCAAAAAGAGCTTTCAGAGGATCTACGATCAAGAATTGTTGATTTACATAAGGCTGGAAAGAGTTACAGACTGATTTCAAAGACTTCAAAAATTTACCAGTCTACAGTTAGGCAAACGATCTACGAAAGGAGACACTTTGGGACTGTGGCTACTCTGCCAAGAAGCGGGTGCTGATTCAAAATGAACCCAAGAGCACAACAAAGACTCATCAATGAGGTAAAGAAACAACCCCGCGTGACAGCCAGAGAGTTGAAGGCATCACTGGAACTGGCTAACACCTGTGTTCATACAGTACATGAAACATCCATCAAGCAGGGTGCCTATGACAGGACACCACGAAGGAAGCGCTGCTTACTACAAAGAACATTGCTGCACCCCTGAGGTTTGCGAAACAGCCCAGTGACACTGCACAGTGATATTGGCAAAGTGTTTTGTGCACTGATGAAACAAAGACTGAACTATTTGGAAAGAACACACAGGACTACATCTGGTGTAAAAAGGGCACTGCATACCATCAGGAAAACATCATCCCAACCATAAAGTATGGTGGAGGAAACACCATGATTTGGGCCTGCTTTGCTGCCTCAGGGCCTGGCCAGCTTGCAGGCATTGAGGGGAACATGAATTCCCAAGTGTATAAAAAATTATTCAGGATAATGTGAGACTGCCTGTAAGTCAGGTGAAACTCTGTAGATGTTGGGTGATGCAACAGGACAATGACCCAACACACCGCAGCAAGTCCACAACAGAATGCCTTCAGAAAAACAAAATCCACCTTTTGGAGTGGCCAAGTCGGAGCCCAGACCTCAACAGTGCATCCCAGTGCCTGAGCACCCTCTCCGTGAGGAAGTGCTTCCTGAGATCCAACTTAAACCTTCCCTGACGCAGTTTCAGGCCGTGCCCTCTCGTCCTGTCACTGGTTGCCTGGGAGAAGAGCCTGACCCCCACCTGACTAAAACCTCCCTTCAGGCAGTTGTAGAGAGTGATAAGGTCCCCCTTGAGTCTCCTCTTCTCCAGGCTAAACACTCCCAGCTCCCTCAGCCTCTCCTCACAGGACTAAACATACATGGCAACAGGTGACGCTTTTCACTTTTCCTCTGACTTGATTATGCGTTAAGTATTTTCTGAGCATTCTTCCCATGCAGTTAGCAAAATCTAAAGAAGAAAAAAATCTGTCTTATTTAAGTAGCTTAGTTAAATAATGAAAATTGCATGGTTTTGTGTGTGTCTGTTTTCACTGGGGAGGGGTAAGTGACTTCCGCATTTATATTTGCAAACATACACCCAGTATAGTAAAGAGACTTTAGAAGCCCCCAAAATATTATTGAATAGCTGATCTTCAGACACCAGTGTTAACTTTCTATTCTGCGGGCATATTTATTGCCTGAATGGAATATGAAGGTTATGTTCCAAGAAATTTCAAGTTGCGTGCTTTGATAAGTCATACTTTGCATCTTGCAGCACAGTGAACACACATTGCTAGCAACCATAGAATTCTAGAACTACTTGTTTATCAGAAAAAGAGCCTCAGCCCAGAAAAACTTACAAACCAGAGACAAGAAATGGCATTAGTAAACAGAAGGTAATTAAACAGCAGAAGGAGAGTCTGTAGCCAGAAATGAGTCACCTGGAAAAAACTTGTGATTCAGTGCTGTAAGGCTGGGTAATACACAGAAATAACTACTTGTACAATAGGCAACTAGAAATGCAGCTAACACCAGCTAATCCTGTAAACACATGCAGCTCAGAAAGGCAAAGGATTTCTCCCATACCTCAGCTACGCGCTTATCAGCTTCTTAAAGAAAACAAGCTTCAGTGCAGAAGCATTTGTTTGCAAGTGTAAGAGCTGCAAGAGGCAATTTTTTTCCATAACATTAAGTGCTGTATTCAAATAAGTCAAACAACATTATAGTATATGGAATTGTGTTAGCTCTTAATCACAGGTACAACTTCTGAAATTACCTTACCAGTGAAGTTGCTAGAAACACCATTTTAACATACATGTGTATGTATGAACTTATTCTTAAGATAGTTATAGAAACACTTCCTACCTTTAAGGACACCCAGAAAAGGCAACCTGATTTTGACTCAAAAATCCTATGTTTACCATCGTTTAGTATGTACAAAAAGCACACTGCAAAAAAGATGGCATTTTTCAAGGTGGACGAGCCACTAAGCAAAAGTATGTGGTACTTCCTGTACAACTGAAGCAATACTCAGCATATTTGCTGAAGAAGGAAGCTCTCCGAGTTGAACTTCCCAGAATTTTCTGAAACGAAAAGATATCCTGCTGCACTTCAGCTGTGATACTACTACATACACAAGACATGTCAACAGTTGATGAAATGGTCAGATCCTGTTTTCAGTGAAAAGTGGATTACAAAAAAAGTAAGGTTAGTATGAGGAAATGTGTGGATGTGTATGATGTAATGGTGTGGAGTGCTTCAAAAGGGCAGAATGGCTTTTGGTCTCTACACAGAACAGGAAAGACCGCAAACAGATACTTACTTTACAAGGAAGGTCTCCTGGCAGTAACACAACACAAGAAGCTGTAACAGTCAAAGGGGAGACAGGATCTGTTTCCGCCACAGCTTAAGACCATAAGAGAGCATCCAGCTGGAAATCCTGGATGCAAGCAGGGCTGGATAGAAGCTGAACATGAATAAGACTATATCCAGGTTATGGGTGGACCAAATTCCAGATGTAGAATCGGGTAAGACTGAAGGAGTGAGGGAAGGAGCAGCAGAGCTCAGGCAAACAACAGAGGCCAAGGCAGCAGAGGCCACATCTGCATTAAGAAGTAGTGCGTGCCAGCAGAAATGCATCTGCAGACAGAGCCCGCACTGAAGATCTGACATGCGCACTGTATCCTTCCAGCAGCTTTTAACTTCAACAGCCAGTCCTCGTCTGGTCTTATGGACCGAACACCCATTCCCTGTCAGAATTGCTCCTGGACTACTCCATGAAGTGAATCAAAATGCAGTGAGCAGGCTTTCAGGAAAGACTCAAGAACACTCCTGACACAAACTGAAACTGTTACAATTCTACATATATACATGTATATAATACTGTTTCTGACCAGAAAGAGGCCATTAAAGCCTTAAAGATGAACAGCTTCACTGGAATGAAATTGGATGTGAGTGAACAACGGACTAAACAAAGCCAGTAAATGAGTGATCAGAGAGCTGTAGTAGATAGAAGTGTTGGAAAAGAGAAGGGCTTTCTAAAGGCAGTAAGCAGAACTAAAGTTTCAGAAAATAAGAGAATGAAAACACTGATGCTATGAATAACAAAACAAAGATGTATTTGTAAACATATGAGCTATTTACTGGAGCACTGAGGGGAAATGATAAAAAAATATAACCCGCACGAATCAAAATATACAACAGCTGAAAACAGTTTGTCCAGATGCTGATTTTAAGTTATGTTTCAGAAGCTTTCACAAATAAAGTCGTTCTCTTGAAGCTAACGCCAATAAAGTAACCAACAAGCAGTACTATTGAAAAGATGAAAAATATGAAAATAAATCTCAAGTTAACTGTTATTTAGAAGAAGCAGACATTTTTTGGGTAGTTTTTGTTCATTCTTATACATACAAATAGAGAAAAGTCCACTAGAATTATACATTGATTTCTCAAGAGGCTCTTTTCCTGCAGGTCAGGCAAACTTTTTTTTTTTTTAAAAAAAAGAAGAAAAAGTAGCTATTTAAAAAAAAATAGAAAATTCAGCAGACCTGAAATAACAAATACAGCTGTACTGGCTTTAGAATTTTCCTACACTCATAGGCAAGTGCAAATGGCTGCACACATGCATCTCCATATACACACAGGCACAAATACCGGAAAACTCTTAAAATTCTTTACAAACCTTTTACTTTAGTACCTTTCAGGAAAATTGTTACTATAAGGAACACGTATCTGAAGCCAAAATCACATACTGTATTATTGCACTGTGTAATCACTTGGCGGACCAACAATTCTGAAATTTGCTTTATACATAGAAAGAAAAATTATCTTGCTGAACTTCAAAGTACAGCCAGAAATTTACAATTAGCAGTTGAACCGTTAACATTGCTCTAATCATCCTTTTCATTTAGGACATCTGTTTCTAATTAAGGGGCTGCAGGCAGCTCTGTGAATGGTCAAGAATGTCCAAGTGTTGAGTACTGGGAAAGGTGCACTCAAGCACTGCTCCTGCCAACACCGCTGTGTAGTCAAACTGCCGCTAAAACATTCCCTGAATGAAAGAGACAGCCCTGTGGGACTAGGCTACCCAGTCTCTTATTTATGAGCATTTAAAATCAACCACAGAATGAGAGCTCTTTTAGCAGGCCACCTTACTCTCCAATTCATATCAGTATTTTCAAACCAGTCCTACTTTTTAAACAAAGGTGTCCCAAATTAGTGTTACAATAATGAAAATGGTATTCACAACAGGATGAAAAGAGTTCCTCGTAGAAAAGGAAAGCAG